AAAAAAAAAAAAAAAAAAAAAAAAAAAAATATATATATATATATATATATATATAAAAATAAGCTGGGTGTAGGGGCATGCTCCTGTAATCCTACCTACTCAGGAGGCTGAGGCAGGAGAATTACTTGAACCCAGGATGTGGAGGTTGCAGTGAGCCAAGATCCCACCACTGCACTCCAGCCTGGGCGACAGAGTGAGAGTCCATCTCAAAAAAAAAAAAAGAGAAAGAGAGAATGATAAGCTTAAAAGCATTTATACATCAGTTATGTAAAGAAAACAAAAGTTTAGAAAACCTACATAAAGTCATTAATAGAAGATTCAAATTTTCTTTATACAGGTTTTCTATTTTCCAAATATCCTCCAATTATACTGAAATGTTCTTTTTTAAAAAATTAACTTTTTAAATTATATGGCCTGGCTAGGCACAGTGGGTCACACCTGCAATTCCAGCACTTTGGGAAGCTGAGGTGAGTGGATCACCTGAGGTCAGGAGCTTGAGACCAGCCTGGCCAACATATTGAAATCCATTCTCTACTAAAAATACAAAAATTACATGCCTGTAATCCCAGCTACACAGGAGACTGAAGCAGGAGAATCGCTTGAAGCTGGGAGGTGGAGGTTGCAGTGAGCCAAGATCATGTCACTGCACCCCAGCCTAGGTGACAGAGTGAGACTCCATCTCAAAAAAAAAGAAATATTGGCCAGGCATGGTGACTCACGCCTGTAATCCCAGCACTTTGGGAGGCTGAGGTGGGTAGATCAGGAGATGAGGAGATCCGGACCATCCCGGCCAACGTGGTCAAACATCATCTACTAAAAACACAAAAAAATTAGCTGGGCATGGTGGTACGTGCCTGTAGTCCCAGCTCTACTCAGGAGGCTGAGGCAGGAGAATCACTTCAACCCAGGAGGCGGTGGTTGCAATGAGCCGAGACTGCGCCACTGCACTCTAGCATGGTGACAGAGCAAGATTCCGTCTAAAAAAAAAAAAAAAAAATTAGCCGAGTGCAGTGGCTCACACCTGTAATCTCAGCACTTTGGGAGGCTGAGGCAGGTGGATCACAAGGTCAGGAGTTCGAGATCAGCCTGGCCAACATGGTGAAACCCCGTCTCTACTAAAAAAAAAAAAAAAATACAAAAATTAGCTGCACATGGTGGTTCGTGCCTATGATCCCAACTACTCAGAAGGCTGAGGCACGAGAATTGCTTAAACTGGGACCTGGCAGGGGCAGGTTGCAGTGAGACAAGATCGCACCACTGCACTCCAGCCTGAACTACAGAGACTCTGTCTCAAAAAAAAAAAAAAAAAAAAAAAATTAATTAAATTATATGGCCCAGTGTTGCTACTTTAAATTTTGACAAAGTTTGGTAAAATTTACTTTTTTTAAAAAGCTTTGAAAATGACTTTATAAAACTAAAATTAACCTTTTCCAGAGGTAATCTTTGAAGTACTAAAGAAAAGACTGCCATGCTGAAGATCCATCATTTCTCCCTTCAGTTTGTCGGATGCGACATCAATGAGGACAAGTTCATCAGCCAAATCCTAAAATATATGAAAGTTCTGAGTAAAATGTTCTGGAAAATGTTCCTACTCAAGTTTTAGGAGAAGAAGAATTTTCATGTGGCTACTTCATAATTAATGGAATCTCATATTTTAATAGGGAAAAATGATATAAAAATAATTTTTCAATGAGACTGGGGTGACCAAAAGTAAAGGTAGGTAAACATTAGGATGTAGCAAAAATTATTATTTTGACTTCGTATAATTGTTAGAACTTTTTAAGAGTTGGGTTTTTGTTTTGTTTTTTACCATTTAAATAACAATTTAAAACCAAGGAAAATAAAATGATTTCAAAGGATTTTACTGTATTTTTTTTTTTTTTTTGAGACGGAGTTTCACTCATGTTACCCAGGCTGGAATGCAATGGAGTGCAATGGCGCGATCTCGGCTCACCGCAACCTCCGCCTCCTGGGTTCAGGCAATTCTCCTGCCTCAGCCTCCTGAGTCGCTGGGATTACAGGCACGCGCCACCATGCCCAGCTAATTTTTTGTATTTTTAGTAGAGACGGGGTTTCACCATGTTGACCAGGATGGTCTCGATCTCTTGACCTCGTGATCCACCCGCCTCGGCCTCCCAAAGTGCTGGGATTACAGGCTTGAGCCACCGCGCCCGGCCTGATTTTACTGTATTTAACCTGTATTTTTTTTTTTTTTTTTTGAGACAGAGTCTCACTCTGTTGTCCATGCCGGAGTGCAGTGGCATGATCTCAGGCACTGCAACCCCTCTGCCTCCCAGGTTCAAGCCTCCTGAGTAGCTGGGATTATATGCACCCACCACGTCTGGCTAATTTCTGTATTTTTAGTAGAGATGGAGTTTCACCACATTGGTCAGGCTGATCTCAAACTCCTGACCTCAAGTGATCCGCCTGCCTCGGCCTCCCAAAGTCCTGGGATTACAGGCTTGAGCCACCGTGCCCTGCCAGGATTTTATTATATTTAACCTTAAGCCTTATTTCTGAGTTGGCCAAAGCTGCTTTTAGTATGCATCCTTATGGCCCAAACAGAAAGGTAACCACCTCTGGTGAACACTTAATTTCATCTGTCTACTGTCCCTGGTAATAGAATTCCTCTTTTCCATGGGAATCTATTCCATGTGGTTCAGTGCAGTACAGTTAACATCAGTCCTCCAACCTTGGAGTAGATGGGCATTAAAACCAGACCTAGCCAATTGTTCCATCTTTTCCTTCTGGTGACAGAAATCAGTTTATAAGTGGACATATGGTCCAGGTATAAGAAACAAGTATGTCTATAAAGTTTGAAAATGGAAGATGGAAGATTACATCTCACTTTTCTTCAGAATCATAAGCTCTAAGAATGACATGCAAATCCAAGAACCTTAGTAATGACTGTAGAGTTGGAAGGAAAAAAACAAGAATGAAAGAACAAACTGTACAGCCATCTTTACCACCACACAGAAAGACTCCAAGAATTAAGCCAACAGAGAAAATCTAAACCAAGATTTGCAAAGACTATGTCTTGATATGTCTGAACTTCAGAATCCAGTAGTACCTGAAGCTATTTCTGCCCTATTTCCTCTTTCTGCTTAACCGAATTTGAATTGGGTTTTTGTCACATGCAACAGAGTACAGAACTATATAGTGCTTCAGATGCCAGTGGCCAGATTCCAAAGGAACAGTAAGGGAAAGAGATAAAAGTCCCTACTTACTAGTGTTTTTTTCTTAGATCAGGTACCATTTGGCCATTCTGAAAAACCATATATCCTAAAATTTACTAAATAATGTGTTATGTATCATGAATGGGAGGAGGATAAGAAGTTTCATCTAGAAGGATCACATTAACACTTCTTAGCTAATTGATAAGAAAGCCAGCCAGGTGTTCACACCTGTAATCCAGCACTCTGGGAAGCCAAAGTGGCAGACTGCTTGAGCTCAGGAGTTCAAGACCAGCCTGAGCAACATGGTGAAACCCTGTTTCTACAAAAAATTAGTCAGGCATGGTGGTGCATGCCTGTAATCCCAGCTATGTGGGAGGCTGAGGTGGGAGGATCACTTGAGCCCAGGAGGTTGAGCTGCAGTGAGCTATGATTGCACCACTGCACTCCAGCCTGGGTGACAGAGTGAGATCCTATCAAAAAAAAAAAAAAAAAAAAAGAAGAAAAGAAAAAGAGAGAAAGAAAGAAAAGAAGACAGAATTGTGCACAAACAACCTAGATGATATTTGGCAGGGTGCAGTGGCTCATGACTGTAATCCCAACACTTTGGGAGGTCAAGGCAAGAGAATCACTTGAGCTCACCAGTTCAAGACCAGCCTGGGCAACATGGCAAAACCCTGATTCTACAAAAAGTAGCCGGGTATGGTGGTGTGTGCCTATAGTCCCAGCTACTCAGGAGACTGAGGTGGGAGGGTGGCTTTGAAACTGGGTGGTAGAGACTGCAGTGAGCTGAGATTGCACCACTGCACTCTGGCCTGGGCAACAGAGCCAGACCTTGTCTCAACAAGAAAAACAAAAAACAAACAAAAAAAACAGATCATGTTTATAGGTCAATTTTTATATCAGTCCGTGTCTCTGTCTGGGTTTGGTCAGAAAAATGGAAACCACTCTAAGCATTTCAACAGAGGAAATTTAGTATAGGGCATTAGCTAGCAGTTGGAGTTCTGAAAGAGCAAAAAGGGAACATATGAGGTAATCCAGACACAGCAACTGTAGTTAGAAGCTAACACCCCTAGGGGTGACAGAACAGAGAGACTACTGGAAGTGTTTCATGGAGCTATGTTCAGACACCTGAAGAAGGCAAAACCTGGTTGCTGCTGATACTGCTGGGGAGACATGATGAGGCCAATGTTGGGAGTTCCAAAAGAAGATGGAGGTTAGAACCAACCTAATTTCAACAAAGAGCTACAGTTGGGATGACAGTAACCAGAACAATAAGCAAACAAGGAGGTCTCTTCTTCCCTCCTCTTACCTTCCAACTTCCCTCTGGTGACCTCTATTGGCAGAATCTGAGAAGATGCCAACTGGCAAGGAAGAAAATGTGCAGAGATCCACCACCAGCATCATAAAGTACAGAAAGTTAGAATTATGTTCTGCCAAAAAGATACCTACACTAGCATGTTTCTCCCAGCGCTATTCATAATAACAAAGACACGGAATAAATCTAAGCACCCATAATGGTGGACTGGATAAAAAGTGGTACATATATACCATGGAGTACTGAATATTCAACAGCCATGAAAAAGAACAAAATCATGTTCTTTGTAGCAACATGGATATAGCTGGAAGCTATTATCCTAAGTGAATTAATGCAGAAACAGAGAACCAAATACTGCATGTTCTCGCTTTTAAGTGGGAGCTAAACACTGGGTATAAATGGACATAAAGATGGGAACAGCAAACACTGGGAACTCCAAAAGCAGAGAGGAAGGGAGGGGACCAGGGTTAAAAAAAATACCTATTGGCAGCCAGGCATCATGGCTCATGCCTGTAATCCCAGTACTTTGGGAGGCCAAGGCAGGTGGATCACTTGAGGTCACGAGTTCAAAACCAGTCTGGCCAACATGGTAAACCCTGTCTCTACTAAAAATACAAAAAATTAGCCAAGCCTGGTGGTGAGTGCCTGAGGCCCCAGCTACTCAAGAGGCTGAGGCAGGAGAATCGCTTGAGCCTGGGAGGTGGACACTGTAGGGGAACAAGACTGCACCACTGCACTCCAGCCTGGGCAACAGACAAACCCTGTCTCGAAAAAGGAAAGTCAGAAAAAGAAAGGAGAGAAGAGAAAAGAAAGACGAAAAGGAAAAGAGAAAAGGAGTGTCAAGCCTGGAGCCTGAAAGTCTGAAGTCTTGCTTGCCTTGGCTGATTGTCTCCCACCCCCCCACGCCCCGCCCCCACCCCGGGCCCCGCCCCCAACCCGCAGGCCCCCCCAAGCCCCACCCCCTATCCCCACCCCGCATTCGCCATTGTCCCTAATCGCCCAGTGAAGCTTCCCCGGTGAAGCCCCTCACCCCACCCTATCATCTTAACTACTCTTATCCCACCTGCCATTGTAACTAAACTTACGGTAATGTATAGTCCTTGCCCCTCCCCCAACCACTGTAACTGATCTTACTCTGTAACTTCCCACTGCCCACCCCAAACCTAAGAAACCAACTCCTATCCCACTGCCCTTTCCTAACGCCCTTTTCGGCCTTAGCCCACTTGCACCCAGGTAATAAACAGCCATGTTGCTCACACAAAGCCTGTTTGGGGGAATCTCTTCATTCAAAGCGCGCGTTTTTAATAGAGAGAGAAAGGAAGGAAGGAAGAGGGAAGGAAGGAAAAGAGGGAAAGAAAAGAAAGAAAAGGAAAGAGGAGGAGAGGAAGGGAGGAAGGGAGGGAAGGAGGGAGGGAGGGAAAGAAAAAGGATGGGGGAAGGGGAAAGAAGGAAGCGAGGCCGAGCTGGCGGGTGGGCAGGCCAGATAAGAGGATACAGATCTGCTTTCAAGGGATTAACCCTGCAACCCTGAATGAATTGACATCTCCAAGACTTTGAAGTGCTCACTTGATTTTCAGCCACAGGATGGGCTTCTTACTCACCTTCAGTAAAATGCTAATAGCACAAGCCATGCCTACGGCACCAATTCCAACAACGGTAATTTTACAGTGGGAGTCTTTATCGTCCTCAATTAGCTTCTCAATAAGCTGCTCCTTGACAGTTGACATTTGGAGAACCTGATAGGGATAACGCAACTTCAATGGAATCGAACTCCCTAAATTAATCACTCTCACAGCTACGATGTGTTAACCACACTGAACATCTAAGGAACAGCCTCTTCAGTTTGCAGAATGGTGGAGCCGGGGTGGAGGGAAACCAAAGAAAGAATCTCCTGGTCAAGGGTGCGGGGAAGGTAAAGCAAGGCCCAGCCTACCAGGCAATGAGAAGGCTGGGGCACCAGCGAGCTTTTGGATTTCTCTCCGTCCCCAGCCCCCACTTTCACCCCAGCACCACACGCTCACAAATGCTTGGCTTGGCGCAGTACAGATGACCCAAAAGGGCAAGGAACCACCTTGAAGGAAGACACAGAAGTGACAACAGAAAAATACACTAACGACAGTTGAAGCGCAAATCCCGGCGACGGTTGCCCTTCGCCTGTCTCGAGGCGCACACGCTCCCACGCACGGCTCTCCTGCGTCAGCACGCAAGCTCCGCCCCACTTCCCCCAACAGGCGCAGGCACGTGGACTTCTCCAGGCCGGGGAGCTGTGTGGGGCGGTCCAGATCAGGGAAATGATGCAAAGATTTCTAGACTGACCCAAAGAGTGTGCAAGACGGGGATGCATTATTTGCAGGATTTTAAAAAATTATTAACTTCTCAGGCGCGGTGGCTCACGCCTGTAATCCCAGCACTTTGGGAGACCAGGGCGGGCGGATCACGAGGTCAGGAGTTCAAGACCAGCCTGACCAATATGGTGAAACCCCGTCTGTTTCAAATACAAATACAAAAATTAGCTGGGTGTGGTGGTGCGCGCCTGTAGTCCTGGATGCTCGGGAGGCTGAGGCAGGAGAATTCCTTGAACCTGGGAAGCAGAGGTTGCAGTGAGGAGAGATGGTGCCCCTGCACTCCAGCATGGGGGACAGAGTGAGACCCTGTCTCAAAAAAAAAAAAAAAAATTTTGCCCGTAAGTAAGGAAGCTTTACAAGATTCCATTTGAAAACTCATGAAAGACTAATAGAATCAGTCTATTTCACTTAAGTGTTTTCAGTCCTGTTGATATTTATTGTATCAAATTATATGAAATTAATGTAAATTTAAAAAATTTTAAAGACTGAAGTTTGCCTCAAAGTTTACAAAAGGCTCCAGGAGTAAGTACAGGCTTCTTTTTGGGCTAATTAAAATGTTCTTCTTTTTTTTTTTTTTTTGAGACAGGATCTCACTGCCATCCAGACTGGAATACAGAGGCATAATCTCGGCTCACTGCAACCTCTGCCTTCTGGGCTCAAGGGATCCTCCCACTTCAGCCTCCTGTGCAGCTAGGACTGCAGGTGCCCGCCACCACATCCAGCAAATTTTTGTAGAGATAGGGTTTTGCCATGTTGCTCAGGCTGGTATCAAACTCTTGGGCTCAAGCAATCCACCCACCCGCCTTGGCCTCCTAAAGTGCTGGGATTACAAGTGTGATCCTCTGCACCCAGCCTGTATTCTAAGATTAGATATTGGTGATGGTTGTCAACTATGTGAATACACTAAAAGTCCACAGAATTATACTTTATAGATGCGCCCAACCTTTTGAATGTGAGGACTCTTTTGCTTATCTGTGGTGGCAGATATCAGGAAGATTATGCATGAACTTTTTTTTAGCTTATCAGCTATTGGAAGTGTTAATTTTTATTGAGACAGTCTTGCTCTGTTGCCCAGGCTCAAGTGCAGTGGCACCATCTGGGTTCACTGCAGTCTCTTGTGGGTTTATCACCAGTTCATTCCCTGATCACCAACCACCTCAGCCTCTTGTGCCTCAGCTTCCCAAGTAGCTGGTATTACAAGCACAGGCCACTACACCCAGCTAATTGTTCTATTTTTAGCAGAGATGGGGTTTCACCATGTTGGCCATACTGGTCTTGAACTCCTGGCCTCAAGTGATCCACCCACCTCGGCCTCTCCAAGTGCTGGGATTACAAGTGTCAGTCACCGTGCCTGGTGAGTGTGTTTTATGTGTGGCCCAAGACACTTCTTCCAAAGTGGCTCAGGCAAAGCAAAAGGTTGGAAAACCATGTTTTAGAGATAAGTCCTTAACTGGCTCTCAGGAAAGAATCTTTGGAAAAAGACCCTGGAGTTGGGGATGACAATAATGTTGTCCAGTTAATCTTTACAAGTATGGTTTTCAGGCCTGGATAAGGGTCCCAGTTGTATTTTTAGAAAAATTATAAAGAAAACTTGAGTAGACAACCACCAAGGATACTTGGTTTTTTGTTTTATTTTAAAGAAATGGGATTTCATTGTTGGCTGGGCTGGTCTCTAACTCCTGGCCTCAGTGATCAGCCCACCTTGGCCTCCCAAAGTGCTGGGATTACAGGCATGAGCCAATGCACCCGACCTTAAAATTGTTTTTGTTACTGGCTTCCAGAGGGCAAAGAAAATCTGTGTTCCCTGTAGTGACAAAGTACCATTGCCTATATTCAGTTGGCAAATAAATTTTACATTCACATATAGAATGTTACTTTCCAATTATGATTAGCATGATTATCAAATATCTCATATAATACTTTGGGACTTAATATATTAAAACTATCCATTTTAATGGAAGTGGTACCAAAACAATTCTGTTGTTACCTTTTCTGCTATTAGTAATTAATATCCCCTTTTAAAAAAATCATTGCAGGGTTACCCAATAGCCTAATAATATAATGAATAACTGGCAGCTTATGACTTTATATCTTAATGAATTAACAAAAGTAGTCACTGTTCAAGGTTTATTGGGGGTAATTTTAGTTGGTGTAACACTTGGATAGTTGGTTGCATTGTTTATATGTAGATCTTTTTACATTGCATGGTAATGTACACTACTGATATATATAGTTCACAAAATTAGATCCTTTGGAACAAGACATGCGATATTGGATCTATACACCGAATGCCAGGACGTGACTGACTGGGAAAAAATGTTGGACTAGGCATGTTCAGTGAAGGAGCCAGGAAGTTATATAACAAACGAACATCTCTCTGGCTCAAGGGGCAACTGCAGCATGTGCAACATTGGCAGTGGTGCCTCAGAGGTGGCAGAACTATTTCACACTAACCAGTTTAGGACTACACAAGGTTACCACTATCCAGCATCAGAATATAGCTGTAGGACTTTACAAACCATTCCTATTTCTAACTTCTGGAATTGATGTTTTTCCCAGTCCATATTAAAATATTACTGCTTTAATCACAGATCAGATAAAAAGGACAACATGCACAACCTCCAACTAAAATCCTGTTGTAGCCTAGATAGTGAAATGGTATGACATCAGAAGACTTTAAAATTGCAGCTCTTTTTGGATCCCCCAAAGTGTATCCGCACTCTTCTTCAAACGAGCCTCTTCCTCAGGAGTCAGAGTCACCTTCACAACGTCTGAGATTCCATTCTGTCCCAAAATGCAAGGAACACTAAGGAAGACATCATCCTTTATTCCATAGAGACCCTGAAGATGAAATGAAAAATATTTTACATTTTGCCTATGCATTCCAGGGTTTCCCAAGACTTACATTCTCTATTAATTATGAGGCTTTTTTTTTTTTTTTTTTTTTTTTGAGGCAGTCTCGCTGTCACCCAGGCTGGAGTGCAGTGGCATAATCTCAGCTCACTGCAACCTCCACCTCCAAGGTTCAGGTGGTTCTCCTGCTTCAGCCTCCTGGCTGTGCCACCTTGCCCAGCTAATTTTTGTACTTTTAGTAAAGACAAGATTTCAACACGTTGGCCAGGCTGGCTTTGAACTCCTGACCTCGTGATCACCCACCTTGGTCTCCCAAAGTGCTGGGATTACAGGCATGAGCCACAGAGCTGGACTGCCTTTTCTTTTCTGAGATGGAGTTTCACTCTTGCTGCCCATACTAGAGTGCAATGGTGCTAACCTGGCTCATTGTAACCTCCGTCTCCTGGGTCCAAGTGATTCTCCTGCCTCAGCCTCCCAGGTAGCTGGGATTACAGGCATGCGTCACCACACCCAGCTGTGTATTTTTAGTAGAGACAGGGTTTCAACATGTTGGTCAGGCTGGTCTTGAACTCCTGATCATCAGGTGATCCACCCCTCGGCCTCCCAAAGTGCTGGGATTACAGGTGTGAGCCACCTCACCTAGCATTTTTTTTCTATCCTGATGAAGCATTTTTTTTTAAATAGAGACAAGGTCTCACTATACTGCCTAGGGTGGTCTCAAACACCTGGGCTCAAGCAATTCTCCTGCCCTTCTTGACCTCCCAAAGTGCTGGCATTACAGCTGTGAGCCACTGTGCCTGACCTAATTATGAAGATTTTAAAATACAGCTCGGTAAGCAGAAATTCCTTTCCAGATGTTATGATGTAATAGTGTAAAAGAAAGTCATTGCGGGGCGTGGTGGCTCATGCCTGTAATCCAAGCACTTTGGAGGCCAAGGCGGGCAGATCACCTGAGGTCGGGAGTTCAAGACCAGCCTGACCAAAATGGTGAAACCCCGTCTTAAAAAAAAAAAAGTCATTAAAAATAGCAACATGATGACCCTAACTTGAATATATAGTCTTCTACCTACCTCAGCATAACTGAGACTTTTTTGTAGTCAAATTAAATCTTTTTTAAAAAGCCAGGAAAAAGCATTCAAATACAGTGTATTGCTACACAGACCTACCTTAATCATGGTGGAAATTGGGTGCACCCGCCTAAGATTCTTCATTATAGTCTCTGCCAAATCTGCCACAGAGAGTCCAATGGCCCAGGATGTGTAGCCTTTGAGTTTGATCACCTCGTAAGCACTGTAGGGTAGGAAACCATAGGTAAGGGCAGAAAAGGTAGGGTGGGAGAAAGAAAGAAAAACAAAGCTTTCATTAAACACGTTTTTACAGTGATTAATGACACAATGTTACCTTATACCAAGAATAACCTTTCTACATGTATACCAACATATAATGACAGGGATATTCATTAACAGTACTGTTAGTAACAGCAAAAACATGGCAATCTTTCCAATGCTCTCCAACAGAAGAAGAGATAAATCGTAGTATACTGATATAATGAAATATTACACAGCTATCAAAAAATAAACTACAGGCTGGGCGCACTGGCTCACGCCTGTAATCCTAGCACTTTGGGAGGCTGAGGCAGACGTATCACAAGGTCAGGAGATCAAGACCATCCTGGCTAACACGGTTAAACCCCTTTACTAAAGTCTCTACTAAAAATACATAAAATTAGTCAGGTGTGGTGGCATGCACCTGTAGTCCCAGCTACTCTGGAGGCTGAGGCAGGAGAATCGCTTGAACCCAAGAGGCGGAGGCTACAGTGAGTCGAGATTGTGTCACTGTATTCCAGCCTGGGTGACAGAGATTCTGTCTCAAAAAATAATAATAATTTTTAAAAAGGCCAGGCACAGTGGCTCATGCCTGTAATACCAGCACTTTGAGAGGCTGAGGCAGGCAGGTCACAAGGTCAGGAGTTCAAGACCAGCCTGACCAACATGGCGAAACCCTGTTTCTACTAAAAATACAAAAAATTAGCTGGGTGTGGTGGTGTGCACCTGTAATCCCAGCTACTCAGGAGGCTGAGAGAGGACAATCGCTTGAACCCAGGAGGCAGAGGTAGCAGTGAGCCGAGATCGTGCCACTGCACTCCAGCCTGGGCAACAGAGAAAGACTCCATC